CACCACTTTGTTGGGGTCCCCTACTCAGCTGGCTCACGAGTTCCAGCCATGGAACCCGCGGGGCGAAGTAGAGCAGCGCCAGCTCGCCGAAGCTGCCCCCGACCTGGACGCAGGAGTCTTCCACCCACAAAAGGCCCGCGTGGGACAAGAAAACCACGAAAGGTGCGCCAGTCAGGGCACGAAGATTTGCAAACTCGCCTTGAAATGTGCCCAATTTGCCAATCTTCTAAAGTTTCAAGGCGAGAGGTCGCACTTTGCGTCACGCCGGGGCCAGTGGAACCCACCAAACATCAATCCCTTCCCAACAGGATTGACAAGCCCTGGCAGGCAGAACCCCCTGCTGCTGAAACCAAACCGATCGAGGGATCCGACAGGGATCGCCTCCACGGTGCCCAGCTGGGCGGCCGCCGCCGTCTCTGCGCCTAAAAGGCATGCGTTTGCTGGGTGGGTGGGTGGCTGGGTGGGTGGGTGGGTGGGCGGGTGATGGTGGATGGTGGATGGGCCCGAGAAAAAAAAAAGGAGCTGGAGGCATGCAAGTACCTGAGCCACAATTCATCTGCCGAAAAAGGGGGAAAAAAAAGGAGTCAATCGAGAGCTGGTTGCAGCCCACCTGGTCACCTGTCAAGCCGCAGCGAGGCGTTTTTGGCGGCAGCCAAATGCCGAGCGTCTTTGCCCCTCTTTGGCGTCGTCCGCCTTGGAGATCGAGAAGGCGCCCTTCTGCACCACATAGAAATAGTCGGCCTGCCGAGCGGCCGAGCGGAGACTCGCGCTGTGTCTCTCGGCTTGTAGTCATTCAAACGCCCGATGCGTGGCTTTCTGTGTGCCAGACAGCCGGGGGTACAGTTATTATGGAGGAGGGGGACGGTGCCAGTTGAGTGCGGGATGCGCGGGATCTGCGGGATGCGCCGGCCAGCCTCTCACACCGCTACCGCAAGCGCAGGCGCAGCTCCTGCCTGCAGGTCGTTCTGCTTGATGATTGCAGTGCCCGCCGGGACCTCCTCCTTCCACATCAGGTCCGTCAAGGCCTTCGTTCGCACCTTGGGACGTGAGCGGCCGGCCCCCTTCTATCCATGCAGCCCTTCCCGCAAAGAGGAGAGTGAGCAATGAATCGGTGCTGGGGTCCAGCCACTTGAACATTGAAGGCCGCACTGCCAATGACCCAAAACAGCAGGTGCCGCAACGCTGCCTCGTCCAGGTTCGCGATTGTGTTCAAGTTGGTGTTGTCCTTCAGGGCCTTGGAAATCAGCCTCGGCTCTGCGAAACAGGCCCGTACCAAAGCTCGTCCACGGCCCCCGGCTCCAAACAATGGCATTCTCAGCTACTTAAGCTTCCAGCCCCTGAGATGCAGCCGAATCTTCGGGATCAATGCCCAACATCGCAACACCCGGTGCATCTAGCCATCACACATTCATATCTGGACAATTTGCTTCAATGCATCGCCAGAATCTCTGGGAGGCTGTGTCGAGCCAATGCTTGCCCACACTGCCTAACCAACAAAACCATCAAAAGGTCAGATTTGGAGGGAGACGCACCTGAAAATGCCCCTGCTGCTCAGCGGCTGCTTGTCCGACTCCGACTTCTCGCAAGGTGGCTTAATCTCCGCCTGGCAAATGCGACATCAATCCGCCAGTGTGGGACGCCCAAGCCTTGTGCGCCTCGCTTTTGGAATCAGGTTCCAGCAAGCAGGTGCCGGCGTACATCACATGAAAATCAGGTGAATGGAAGGCGCGGGAGGCTTGTGAGAGGGACACCAAACAGAAACTGACCATTGGAGGAGTCGTTGGAGGAGCCATCCTTTGCCGATTGTGTTCAACGCCTGCTTCCTGAACAAGACGGTGTGCCACCTAGGCCCCAGCCATGCTCCCATGTTCATTTGGGTTTGGGTCCAAATTAAATCACCGGACCGCAGGTTTTAGTCCACGTTTCCATTTACCAGGGTTCCATTCCGGGGTGCCCGCTTGACCCACAGGCATTTGCAAAAAAAATATTTGGCCCCCGAGCGGAGGCCCGCCTGCACCGCCACGCCGCCGCCCACTGCGCCTCGCTTGGGGAACTCCAACTTGTCCTGCAAACCGAGGCCTCAGTGGCGGACTCAGGACTTGGCCCACCTTAGAGGGGAGGGTTTCCTTTCTGCCCCTTGGAAGCCTGGGGAATCTCTGATGCAAAGGGAAGCCACCAAGTTCTCGGTGAAAATACCCAAATTTGGAATGGCTTGCGTGGGGTACCCAGTAAATCAAAATGATTTTGGCTCTGTTCCATAGTTCGTCTACCCTAAAATAGGAGGAGATCTCCGGAAGAGGGCGGCCGGTCCCAGGACACCAAGTTTGGTCACGTCTGGCCCAGGCCCTATGGACACTGCAAGCGGGGCAGGTTCAGAGAACCCCTTGTGGCCCTTGTGACTTGCGATTAGAGCTTCTCGGCCCGAAGCTTCCGATCTCGGATTCGAGCAAAAAAAGCTTCCAAAGTAGAGTTGTTGTTATATATGTATATATATTTAATAGGACCTTTAATAGGAAGAGTCCGAGGTGGCACGTCAAAAGCTTGTGGACTCAAGTCCGCCCATTGAGACGTTCTGGCGCAAGAGCGCTTTGAACAACAGGCCCAAGGCTTGAAACCTGCAGTGTTCTGTGTAGAAACTGTTTGCTAAATGTTAGTTCACGACAAAGAAAGAACCCATACCCGATCCATTCATGAGCCCAAGGTTTTGATCCGAGGTGCTCATGAATGACTGCCGAGTGATCTTGAGCGCGATCACCTGCAAAGGCTCCATGACAACGGCATGTATAGTAAGAAGCTGAGACGAGAGAGATCGAGAGAGAGGTATGTCAACCCTCTCCCCTTGCGATCTGCTGCCAATTAAGCGGGTGCGATGTGTTGTTTCCGTGCCTGTGTACATCCTTCCCAGTTTGCATGCGGGCAGATCTTAACCATGGATGAATCCCAATGTGCCGTGCGGGCTCTGTATCCTTGGGGGTGGTTGCACAAACTTGGTGGCGCTTGTTGGCGGAACTGTCCCAAACTATACGATGCTCCAGGATACTCTGAGCGGCATCTGAGCGAGCGCCTGGGAGTTGGCCTTGATGGTGGCGTTGCGGGGCTCATCTCGGAGCAGAGCGTTCTCCCCGAAGTAGTCCCCGGCCTTGAGGTCGGCCACCTGGCCAAACAGCGTGGAGGCGGTGGCCTTCACCGGTGGAAACCACATGGAGCGAAGAAAGATCTTTGGGGCTCGCACATGCCCAAATGCCCACGGGGCAAAACCTAGGGCTCCGTTAAACCGGTCTCCGCTGCAACTTGGGGGGGGGCTCTAATTTGAGGAAACAGGTCGGAGCTGGCTGAATTAGCTGCAAGGCACCAACATGCACCAACCTATTAAGCTTGTGGACAGGCTTCAAGCTCAGCCTTGGTGACATGTTGCAGCCTAGCATGTCATTGTGCGCTTCTTCAATAAATGATCGTCAGGGCTGGCCATGGCAAGAAACCCATATACTGTGGACACTACTTGCGCCTGTTGGGCTGGGCTTTGAGGCTGGGGGTAATCCAAAGCAGCCGCAGGATGGTCCCATTGGCTTTCTGCTTATGGGCCAGGTGTCATGGGCATCCGACAGCATGCGCAACGACTCAAGATCCGGCCTTCTTATTGTTGATTTCCACAACGGCGGTGCCCTTCCTGAGCACAGATGGAGATGAATCGGTGCTGGCCCAGCAGCAAAGGACAAAGCGCCATCGACAGAAAATCATGGAGGAGAACCTAACCATGCCGCCAGCTTTGAGTGAAGACCGGACAGTCTTGAACCGCAACAAAGCAGTGATGAGCAGTGCAGCCATTCACCCACGAGCCGAGCTTCTTGATCATGAAGAACTCATGACCCTCTTCCCCCTGTGTGATGATGGCTTGGCCTGGCTGGTACTCCACCTGTGTGGCCCGCTTGGCCAATGAAGGCAGCTCGTCCTGGCACATGCCGAGATTCGTCGTCAATGGTGACGCTATTGGCGCCCATTGAAACCGGGGGTTAACAACAAGCCGAGAAACCTCCCCTGTTTCCGACTCTGTTTGCATGCTGTTGCTCGATGTTCTTGAAACAAAAAACAAACAAAAGGCGCCCTTTTCATTTCATGACCGTTGGGCGCCACAGACCGTTGAATCGCGCGGGGCCATGCACGGAGGCCTCCGGCAAACGCTTCAGGAGCTTGACCTTTTTCAGGAACCTCGGCGTTGCGCGCGCGGCGGCGCCCAGACAAAACGAGAGAGTGGTTGGACCCATCTAATTAAGGCTTGGCAACAACAAGAAGGGTTCAGAGGGTTTCGCGGCCATCTCAGAATCTGCCTGGTTACATGTAATGGAATTCGTTCCAGCCACCTTGCAGCAGGTTGTTAGAACTGTTCACAGCGGCGGGCTCTTGTTGCGATACCCCGCGCTTTCATCATCCCTGCAAAAAGATCGGCAGAAATTGGAAGAACTAGCTTGTTGGAATGAAACGCCCGCTGGTGTGACAGGTGGCATGTAGGTCTGCTCGTCCACATCGGCCCTCGACTCCCTGCCGACGGATTTCCCGCTCTTGCTGTTGTTGCAACCCATGGTCCTGGGCTGCAAGGCGTGAAGAGTAGGCGCGCTACAGCGCGTTTTGTTTTGTTTTTTTGGGGGGGGGGTGGTGGGTGGTGGTGGTTGGCACAGGGCCATCCCATGCGGTGCACCCTTCAAAAGCGGGGTGCGAGGTATGGCACTCAGAGTCTCAGGTATGGCAGCGTTGACTTATTTAAACTGCAGCTGAGGGTCCTGGAAAGGAGGTACGGCCAGACTGGTGAGGATACGATACCCGGCAAAGCTAGCTGCCAAGCTCTGAAGAGAAATACCGTTTGAGCCGCGCAGCAGATACATATGCCATGTCATCACGTCTGTTCAAATCGCGTCACATGATAAAATCGACCAGTAGGCTTGGCACTGTTCAATCCACTGGCATCCTTTTGCCCCCTTTCCCAAGTCAAATCCGGGGCACCGTGCTTCTCCATCAGGCCACGCAACACCTGCCGTTGCTGCTCACGCGGCTTGCTCATCGACAGCACGGCCAAACACCCACAAGTTGCATTTGCCCTCTGCCCAGCCCCCCCCCCCCCCCCACCCCTCCAACGCGGCCGAAAATGTGCAACCCTACAAATTTCCCCTGGCCTCCGCCTGAACTTGCCCAGCCCGCGCGTACGCGCCTCGGATGCCGCAGGATGATTTTCGAGCGCGAGTGTTGTACACATCTTAGGGTCGTTCGCCAACATCGATGATAGGTTGGCCAAGCTTTTAAACTTTAAAAGGTTTTCCAGACAGGGGTGATTGTAAACAAATATGTATCAGTCAGGAAACTCTGGCTGAACATGTGATCACATCGAATACAACATGCTCAGACGTTGAAAGTTTATCCTTCAATGACTCAATGGGTTCACCAACCTTGCTATCCCACAGGCCAGTAAACTTGGGCTGGGGCAACCCTCTTTTGGGCGGGTGTGCTGAGAAGCAACGCCAAGAATCCAACCACTTGCCGGAACCTGCACCCCTAATTCTTGCCACACTCCCTGACATACGACACACAGGGCCCTGCAAAAGAGAAGGGCTGTGCTCTGGTCGTCGGCCTCAGTCGCCAGAGCAGACTGCGGCTGCTGTTGGCCTTCACCCTGGGCATCCGGCCATGCCCATGGTGGCCAAGACCTCAGCGAAAAATCCGCGGAATCCGCGGCAGAAACAGCGTGCAGCTCATTCCCGCAGTCCTTTTTCTTGTTCGTTGCCTGACTGCTTCGTCAGCTTACACAACAGATTCAAAGGCCTGAAAGTAGATCAAAGAGCGCACCGCTGCCGCTCAAGAAAGAAGCACACAGTTACAAACTGCAGAGAGGCACATAAATCAGCTGACTGCTCTAAGATCTTGGCCTGTGGCGCCAGGTCTTGCAAAAGCCGGCCGTGGCTTGTATTCAGCATGCTGAAGGAGTGGATGGTTAGCCTTCGCGGGGTCGAATGCCCAGCTTCTGTAGCATGTAAGGGCAGCACCATCAACGATCTGACCAAGTGGACCCCGGGCGCCCTGTGAGATTCAAAAAAACAACTTAACAAGCCGGCAGCCAACCCAACACATGTGGCTGGGTCCCCAGCGCCAGCTGGCGGCTGTGGAACTCCGGGGCCCTCTCCTGCACCGCCTCGCCAGAGGAGCAAACCAGAAGCCAAACCAAGCTTCATTCTGCTTGTCTGCAGAAAGTATCTTTGAGTTGCTTTGCTCAAAGCAACTAGTTGAGATTTTGTTGAAAGTATGTGTCTTGAATTGTGTTGCTTTGACACCAGTTGAAACTTTGTTGAGCAAACGCACAAACAGCGGGCCGCAAAGGCGTGACTTTCACCGCTCCTCCGCCAGGCACACCATGGCCCTCCGCTGCTCCGAGGCCTTGGCAGGTGTGAGTCTACTGGGCTGCCCGTTTTCAGATCCCCCGCTAAAAGTGAATAACTGTTCGTGGGTTAAATGGAAACGACCACTAAACACTAAAAGGCTAAAAAGCTAAGGGGATGGCTGGGAGCCACCAAGTCTATACGTCTGTAAGGCAATGTTTGCTTCAAAATCACGGAGAGCGTCGCTTGAGGAAGAAAACATTTCTTTGCAAGAGTTGTTGCTGCCCCCCGCTTGCAGAGTGGCTGTGGTAAATACACAAACTTGATTGGGTGCCTGTTAAACAAGTTAGCGAGTCGAAGGCAATCCTTGTAGGCTTTCCAAAGGAACCTTGTCTGCGACCTGCGTTCCCGGACATCCCCTGGAGCAACTGTGCTAAGAACCCAGCCATCCCCATCTTGACGATGGCATGCAGTGCCTGTGACAACCTCAGCAACAAATCATTTCATTTGTCCCACGCCGGGCAAGCTTGACACGGCCTGATAAGATTCGGCCGGGGTCAATGTTCCAACTCGTTTGTTGAACAAAGTGGCCGGCACAAATGAAAATCCTCCGACCGCCAAGGTCAAAAGTTTGAGTCACATAGCACCCGAAGTGCTCTGGTCACCTTCTTGGCTTGGCACCGCTTGAGCACCCAGGCCCCAGGGTGCGCCCCGAAAAACATACGAGGGTGTCATTTTCTGAGGCTGCCCTTTAACGGGCTCATGTTGAAAGAACAACCAAAGGGAAAACCATGCATTTTCTGGGAGGTGGGGGGGGGCTGTCCCTATAAGACAAACCCATTTCTAAGGGTACCTTCCCCATTCTTTCCAGGGATCCTTCTTTCTAGAAAACCTCCAGAGACCCAAGGGAAAACGGCCGGTTTTAGAAAGAACGATGGTTGAAAAGAATGGGGAATCAATCCCTAGAATATTCTGACACCAAACATGGAGTAGCTGGCCCATCGCACGCAACATCTGGGATTACTGGGGCTGCCGGCTCCAGCGGCACAAAGTCCCGGGCGCGGTTTGGGATCTGCTGCGCCTGGCACACAACTCGGCGGTCTGCGAGAGTCAGTCTTTCTATTTGTCTGCTTTTCTCACCATCTGAGAAACCGTGCCATGAGCAGTACCCCAATTAACATGGAACCCAACAGGGGGGCCAACAGGAAGACAATTCTCGGTTCCATGTTTATTTGTGGGAGGGCAAACCTCCGAATACTCCTACTGCTAGCTTCTTTGGTTGTATGAGATGTGAAGAGGCCCTCATGTCACTGGCTATGGGGGGGGAGCGTCTAGAAAAATCAAGAGTCATCTTGTGGCTTCGAGTGACTTTGTGGGGGGGGGGGGGGGAGGTCTAACGATGGTCTAGAAAAATACGAGTCATCCGCTTGTGACTTCTTTGCTTTCAAACTACTTGGAAGCACCGCCGGCGTCTTCTTCCAATCCGTGCGCGGCGGCGCCAGCTTGCCCACGGCCACGGTATCTCGCAGCCTGACGGGGCATTGGGCGTTGCTCAACATAGGTCGCCTAAAGGGAGTGCCTACATCATGAGTGTGTCCTTTGTTGCTGTCCTTTGTTGCTGTCCTTTGTTGCAATCATGAAATGCCTATTCAAAGGCTTTCTTGGTGTCCTTGTTGCTTCCCTTGAAATATCCACCGAAAGGGAGCACCTGCTACAGCATGAGCGGTGTGCAGCTGAGGCCGGCGCTCCAGGCGCGCATAGGCATTCAGCCTGAGTGCCAAGGTTGGCCAGCCTTCTCACCGCCCGAAACCAAACGCCCGTGCAAGAGTACAAGTCTTGTGGACATGATGCATGTCTGGCCAAGCAGGCGTTACAACAAACAAAGCATGGCCCAAATGATACTCCAATGTCCTCTGGCTCCAACCAAAGCCATCAATAGCCAGCCCCTTCTGGTTCCACTTTCACTAGCGCGAGAAACAGCACTTCAGGCCATTTTCGAGTACGCAGCCATTGTATGAGAGGCGCCCAACTGGCGATTGCGACCCATGCCCTCTGGACATATTTGAGTACTTGAGTGTATCCGCGTTTCTTAGAAGGACAACTCTCTGGAGTGACCCATGCCATCTCCGCATTGCGACCCATGCCCTCTTGAGTGTATCCGCGTTTCCTGGGCCCTCTCCATTGCGCGTCAGAGACTCCTGCAACTCGGAATCGTTTCTGGATTTTGGCCGGGTTCCTCCGAGTTATTTCGCCTCCACCGTTGCCAAACCAGGAAGGGCATCAAACTCGGGCCAGCGGCAGGTTGGCCAGGTGCTGGGCACTGAAGTCGGCGAGGTTCCGACCTGGAAGAAGCCCTAGGCGTTTAGTGTCTAGGGGGTCGATCCCGCCACATGGTCCGGTTTCAAGTGAAAGCTGGACGAAACAGACGGTGCCAGCGAGCTGGGTCAGAAACACAGTGGACATTTGTCACCCCCCTCTCACCGCTCTCACCCCCTGAGGTATGGTCCCAAATGGTATCCCGCCTTTGTAAGCTGATGAGTGCCCGACTGATGGCCTCTGTTAGCGCAGCAAAAAGAGCCTTGTCAGCGAGCAGGACCTGAGCAACTGGTTGCCCTCCAGCTTCATGCCGAGCAAGCCCTGCTTCTTCCCACCCCTTGATGGAGGTTGCAAGCACTCATATCCACGCAAGGTAGCCCTTGCCAACTTCAACTGTCCCCAGCCCTTGTCCAGCAAACTTGACGTGGCTTCCTAAGTTGAAGCAAGTAGTTGGCCCAACAAACCTAATTCTGTCCTGTGAGCATACGATTTCACGGGATAATCTCCACCAAACCTAATTCAGGCAGTAGCTGCGTCTAAGCCAGACTCGGAGCTCGCAAAGGAAAGGACTTAGTTGCTGTTGACCCCCCTGCAAAAACTTTAACTCATTGGGGGGTTTTGTGGAAAACACCTTTATTTCCCAAAAAGTTGAAGTCTAAAGATCCAACCCAATAGCAGTCAAGAGGAAACGAAAGTTGGCCCAGCCCTACCAAGCAGCCTTGGCGTAGGCGTTTGCCACCGTGGCGGCGCCTCTGCGACGGATGAAGTGGCGAAACGCCCCCGCGAGTCTGCGAGTCTGCGACCCGTTTTCTTGTGGGGGAGCGGGGTGGCAACATGTAACGGGCACGCACGACGCCCGCCTTAAATGAGAAGGCTTTGATACACACATGGTCAAGTCCGACTTCTCATCCCAGCATCTGGATCCTCGTTGACTTCAGGTCCCAGAATTCTCGAAAAGTCTTTGCAGGTCTCAGGCCTTTGTGGCCAACCCAACCCAATCTTGGAAGCTTTTTGCATTGACGCCCGACCCAAAAGGAGGGCTCCCGACTCCCGACTCCCGGACTTCCGCCCAGGGCCTTGCGGCGTGAGCTCCGTCACCTTCTGCACCGTCCAGCCTGAAAGACCGAGAGGGGCGGGCCCAAGCCGTTTCCAAATGGAAGCCGGAAGCCGGGACCTTCAAAGGTGGTGGAAACCTCCCAAGAGTGGGGCCAAATAGAGAATTACCTGGCAGGATGCCTGCTTTGCCAATTGCAGTTTTCACAGCTTCTCGAAAAAAAAAGATGGATTTCTGGTGCCCAGGCTGGGTTTTAGCTCAGGCTGGTGCTGCTCATCTTCTTGAACAAGTCGCCGTCGGCGATCTGAGTAAAGAGATCTTCACTTGACGGAGTCATAGGCAACACCAAAGGACGAAAGACCCTGCGAAGAGGCCAAAGACCGGAACGGCGCGCCAATTTGTTGGGACGGCTCTCTGCAAACGATTTGATTGTGGCAGACATGCTCCGATTTTCTGCTCAACATGCAAAACAGTGGTTCTGCTTTGGCCTGGCAGCCGGGTGTTTGTTAGATCCACATCCCCAGTCTCGGCTTTTTTTTTTGCCAGGGCATCCTTTCAGCTTCAGCCCAGTCTCAGCATGCAACAGCCTAACAATTGCGCCCCACCCTTCCAAACCCGACTCCGTCAGACATGCTTTGCAAACAGTCACATCACGATGACTCTTTGCAACACCCCCCCCCGCCCCCGACAAATTGCTTTGCATCAAGCCTAGCTCGCAGCATGTGACCAATCCTAAATTGCTTCCTCTCAGGCTCCAAGTCAATGACATGACTTCCAGTTTTCACGGGATTTCTGTTCTCATGCGGGCCTCTCCTTTGCATGCGGGGTCTCCCAGCTCGTTTCGCAGGCCTACCCGGCGCTCCACGCTCTTTTTTGGGTCTGGCGGCGGGCTTAGGTCTGCGCACCGACACCTGAGACTTGCGGCCCTTGCGACACTTGCGGGTGATGGATGTGCGGGTTGCTTCCAGCAACATCCCATGCAAACGATCGAATCCTGGATGGGGCCCGTGCCTTTGAACAGCAAACGACATATCAGTTAGAAACACCCAAGCAGCAGGCCAATGCAAGGATAAGAACCGCTTTGCAGAATAATCTGCCTTCAAAGGAGCTGAATAAGCTTATGGTAAAAGTGTCTTTGACGAAAGGTTTTGCAGCCAAGCTGAGGGTTCGCTTTCAGCCTAAGCGGCTGCAAGTTGTAGATGGCGCGTTGGACAGAATTCGGGGAGCACAGGCTAGCAGCTGTGGTGACAACAAAACCCTGCATGTGGCTGGCAACTTGCTCAGCTACAGGGCACGACCAACCCCGCCCCCCCCCCAAAAAAAGAAAGAAAGCATGCTGCAGCCACGGGGCAGTGCCACGCGTTCAGGGCCGCCACAGCCAACAACCGAACCTCCCTGCAGCGATCCTCAATACCCCTCTTGCAGCCAGCCTGTCAGAGTCTCACGCAAGCCCCCGTGTTGAAGGATCGGGCTCTGGGGACCTGGGCCCTGTCTGTTCAACATGGGCCTTCCGTAAGCCAAAGGCAAGGGCCCGTGGATTCAAATTTCTGGTTGCCCGCAAGAGTCACTACGAATACAAGCCCCACATAACCACATGAAACAGGGGTGCCCACCCCGTTTTTGACTCGTGAGAGTCAGTGCTTATTTGAAGCCCACGCCTGGATCTGCTTCTTGAAAGGCGCCAAGTGCCCAAAGGCCTGCGCGGCACATCCCAAGCTCGTCCTTTTGGTCAACGGATATTGACAGTGTCAACATCTACCTCCACGTACCCGCCTGCTGAATCAGAGCACTGAGGACCTGAAAACACCCGAGCCGCACCTGGCAGGAGCTGGGTTCCCATCAATCGGTTTCCAGTGCTGTTGAAGGATGTTTGCAATACTATCCATGTGACTTTAAAGACCATCCATTCCACAAGAATTTCAATAGTCTGACAAGCTGCAAAAACATCACCTTTCCCAAGGACAAATCAACAGGAGCATCCATAGAAACCATCCTTTCTTGAAAGCTGAAGCTCCTAATTTTGTCCAGCGTGCTGATATGGCGAGGTCAGATTCTGCGCATCGGACGGCTTTCACGGGGAACCCCTGCTTGCAAGGCAAGGCGCCAATGGGGTGCGGTGGCTGCCAGCAAGATCGCAAAGGGGCGTGACCTGAGCCAGCCAGCTGCTGACACACACCAAGGAACTGATGGTCATGTGGTGGCCCAAAACGCCTCCCCGCATGCATGTCGCAACAAGGACCTAGGAAGCGGTACACTAGGCATCCTTACATCTAAAAAAAAATCCCGTCAGCACAGCATATCTCCAAATGTTGGGCTTCACTTCGAAACCACGAAAAAGGGGTCCAAAAAACGGCACTCCTCAAAAGGACACAGCCAAGCTAGACAAAGCCTCTACACGGAAAGGAGATCTTTGGGTCATCACGACATATCTCCAAAGGTTGGGCTTCACTTCGAAACCAAGGAAGCCAAGAGGTGCAAACAGCTGATTGCAAGTGGCCACGGAGTGGAGATCATCCTCCACCCAGGGCTGGTTCCTTTCAACTGCTCGGACCAGCAGCTGCCTCAGCTTTGCAACCGTTCCCGGTTCACTCACGGCGTTCCCGGCTTAGCGGCAAAACAAATCAAGCACGGTACCCTTGACGTTGGAAGGGGAGCGACAATTCATTTTTTAGCAGTTAAGTGGTTGGATTTCAACCACTAAACCACAACAAGCAAAAAGGTAAACTGTTTCCCAATAACAACCATGTACCAGACCTAAACCAAACACCTCGCCAAATGCAACATGACGTGGATGCCTCGGACGCAACCACGCACCTCCAATTTGCCTTTCTGCACACCTCTTCACTTGCCTGGCGTGCCAAGGCACAAAACCTGCACGGAAAATACGGAGGCCTGGCGCCGGCGAACTGTTCAGAGCGAAATGCGTTGGCTTGAGGCCAACATAACCGCCATGTTTGGACTGAGCTTGCTAACATCTAGAACTGGCATGGGCGGAACAACGCCTCCAACCCTTCAACCCTTCAACCCTTCAAGCCTCTGCTTCGTCCTCTTTGAGACGCTTCAGCCCGGTTAAGGTGCCTCAGCTCTGGTTGCAATATGTTGCAATGCCACTTCACCGCATCATGGGCATCTGAGGAACGGACAGAATCGCATCTGGTCACCTGGGGGCATTTGACTCGCGGCAAATCAGCAACTGGGTGAGGACGGGAGGTGTGCAACATGTTCCCAATTAACTTGCTAACTCGTTGACTGAACTAACTCCCTAGCGAACAAGCTAGCTAGGCACAGAAAGGCAATGGCCGCCATGAGCTTGGCCTGTCTGGTGTTCAGAACTGCCAGTGCCTAACAACAAAAAGCAGGTTGCCAGGACCTGCTCACAGCCACAAATTGGAAAGCCGGCTACAAACCACTGAAAACGGACCAATGAGCGTCAGACAGAGCTTGCTTGGGGCCTGCTGTCCAAAAGTTGGTCAAGGGAGCAACCGCCAAGAGGTAGCCAGACTCGCCATTTGCCGCCCGAGGCTCTGCATTCTGTGCAGGCCACCTGGCCGAAGCCGGGGGGAATCCACCCCTACTTCCCCCGCAAAATCTGCCACCTGGTTTGCGTTGGCGCTTCCAACCACGGCGCTTGGTGGACGTTGTTTGCAAAGCGGGGTTAGCGCCCGCCATGCACAAGTTGCTGTTCATCAACTGGAAGTCCGGAATCCCCGGAGCTCGAGCTTGGTCTACTCGAAATGCCAGATGAGTGTGGCCAAAAGCCGAAAAATATCCAAACCAGGATGCTGGTGGCAGTCGGTGGGGAAGATGTCTGTGTCACTGGATGGGCTTCCTTCGTTTTCTGGGCCACGCGGAGGTCTAAAGCAAGATACAGATCAAAACAAAGCTAAATGTCAAGAATACATCCCAAACAACTCTGCAAGCTATGAACAATGGCAAGGACCCCATAAGTCTTTCGTTTAGAGATTTGCAAGGAGGGATAGCAAAAACTGAGCCAACAGGATGCGCGGGAATTTTCCTAACGCTACTACAAGTCACCACCCTGAGTTGCGGAATCTTTGAAAAGTACGGGACATCAATGGGAAACCAACCCCAACAGGGCCAACCGATCCCTAGGTCCCTCTTCTTGCTGGCTCAGCAGGGAATGAGGGAATGACCCTTATAAACCATCCCACTGGTGCTTTCCTTTGAGGGAATCCCCAGGTTCATTTCATTTCTCCTTCCCTACTTATGGCACCAGCACGTCTTGTCTTCCCCTCAGGCGCCCACCCGCCCCAACCCGCCCCCACCCGCCCCACCGCCGCGGCTCGGCCGCGCGCCGCGCCTCCGGCGCCAGGGCCGCCAGGAGGCTCACGGCGCTCTCCAGCGCGGCGCGGCGCGCCCAGCCCGCGCTGCCGATGGCCTCCGTCGAAAGGGCGGGTCCCAAGCGTGGCCCCAGGTGTGACGGAGGGGGTGAGGGGGGGGGGAGAGGTTTGAGCGGGCATCTGGAGTTTTCTGGGTTGTGGGGAACTACGCATTTTTTTTGAAAAGAGATTCGCCCAAGACCTTCGGAAAACATCCGTTTGAGCTGCAACATGTGAGTGGCTGGAATTCGGCATGCCCGAAGGGACCTAGCGCGAAACGGCCAGGAGCTTGAGTGACGAATGCCAGGCCCCGTCCAAGAATCAAACAAATTGGAGCCTTGGCACAAGGCGCTTCCCCCCATTTTTGAGTTTGGGCACACGCTGCCCTTGTTGAAACAAATGCTGGCAAACCCATACCAAAGGGCGGGTTTGCGAGCAGATCTGTCTGACTGTCTGGCGGCATCCCGATTTCCCACCCAGCCTTTGCCCTGGACACCAGGGACGGCAGCACAGTTTGAGAAAGCCTGAGCTGCACTGCCATAGATCCCATTGGCCCCCGAGTTTATTTGGATGCTGCGACTTGCGGAGTGGCCACAAAAGTTAGGACTGGCCCCAAAGAAGTCGGCAGGCAGCCAAATGCAGCCTGGCCACTGCTGCAGTGCCAGGGGAGCCAACTTCGCCTCGACTGAATGCCACTAATTCCTAGGAAAAAAACTATCAGACGGACCTACCCAACATTCTGTGGTTGGGAATGTTGCAGCCCTCCATTATTCCAGGCTGATATCTTGGCTGCCATAACTGCACTTCAATTCAGCACCCTCAAACCCATTTGCGCGGGGCCCCCAAACGGGTGCTCAATTTTGAGCAGTCCGGGCAAGGGTTCCATTCCAGCTGCAATCGCCAAACGTACACCCTTGGGCGAGCTCACCCCAACCTCGCCAGAGTGCATAGAATCTCTGGCAAC